AAATAAATAAATAAATAAATAAATAAATAAATAAATAAATAAGATCTCATCACCACGGGGAGGGGGGCGATGATAACTTCCTCAATGGCTCAAGGGGGCGTTTCTTTCAAAAAGGTTAAGAACCACTGACTTAGGTGACTGGCCTTTCACAATCATATAATGGATGTAAAATATTTAATAGCATCATAGGAGATACCACTAGACATTCAAACTAAGAATTTATCTAAGAAAACATTGTAATGACCTTATTTTAAAGAACTGTGTATAAATATGACACAACATGAAAGTCTAAGTGGTCTGTATCCTTGACTTCCCATGGCTTTTTGTATAGAACCAAACTAGGCTTCATGAGATGGCCAAACTAGCATTATGAGTACACTATACTGTATGTAACAGAATGGATTTTGTGAGTAAAACTGCTCCACCTGCACAGAGCAGGACTTACTCACCTTCCTCCTCCTTCTACAGCAGTGGTTCCCAACCTTAGGTAGCCCAGGTTGTTCTTGGACTGCAACTCCCAGAAAACCAGGCAGGACAGGTGGTGATGAAGGCTTCTGGGAACTGCAGTCCAAGAACACCTGGCTTAACCAAGGTTGGGAACAACTGCTCTACAGCATCTATAGGCAGCTGGACTGAAGGCCAAATATAACCTGGAGAGACCCCCTCAGGCCCTTCTGCACTTCATCTTCTTGGACCACAGAGAGAAAGTGAAGGGGAGGATGAGGGCAGGTTCACTGCATTGGTGCTCCAACAGCCAGGTGTCTGCAGAAGGTGGGACTCCAAGACTTCTTAGAACATTGAGGCTGAGACTACTCTGGGAAAAAATGTGGGAAATGCTACGGCTTGGGGGCAGCTGATTCACATTTTTCCACTGATCACATGACACAAAAGGAAGTAAGAAACAGCCTAAAGCCCCCTTCCCCAACAAATCTGTAGTTTTTCCACTCAGCTGCTCAAGCTTCTACTTTTTTTAAAGTACTGTTACATCAGTTCAAGTGTGTGATTCTTCAAACAATGCCAAAAGGGAGGAAAAGCTGAGCACACAAACATGTAAGCAGTGTACATGCTTTGTGTACATATTTGTGTGCTCAGCTTGTCCTCCCCCCTCCCCTCTTGTCTCCCAAGGGAGAAAACAAATGAAGTAAATTCGCATTTTCCTTTTGCACCCTGAGTATGTTTACTCTTCCTTCCCTTGATCAGGCCATGGAAAGTGAGGGAACTGAGAATCTGAGTACACCTAGGATGCACCTCAACGGCTGACTTCCAAGCTCAGGGTCCTATCAGCTTCCAAGGCACCAGGTGAGTGAACTCTGCCCCCTCTACCTCTTTCCTGTGTGGGGAAGGCAGGTGGGGAGGGTAGCGATCACCCTGCCTTGGCTCATGTAGTAGGTTATTTGCATATACCAATGAGAGTGGTTGAGAGGCGGAGCCAGAGAGAACAGAAGGGAGGGGTGAGTCAGTTCAGTCAGTTTAAGTCGGAGAGAAGAGTCTGACGTGAGAAGTCAGTTAGAGGGAAAGTTAGTTTGGGAGTTTTGTGGCAGAGAGAGATTTTAGGGAGTGAACAGTCAGAGTGTTATCTGCATTAGTTAAGTACAAAAGAGGTTAAAGAAATATACGGGACGGGACGCTTGGTGTAACTTTAAGAATGTGCTTAAGAGCTATTCCTGAAACCACTTATAAACAATAAACCTGTTGTTATTTCAAAGTTAAGTACTCGATGGACCTCATTCTTTCACAGTAAACATAGCTGGTAAAGAGATCAACTGGTGGCAGCGTAGTAAAGGACCTGGAGGGTGCCTGAGATTGGGTACATAATCTAGGTACAAGCAAGAGGCATGTCAGAGACTGATGATGAGCGACCGGGTACTGAGACAAGTGGTGTTAGCTTGTAGGATGGTCGTGACAGGGAGCAAAGGGAGTCACAACCCCTGTGGTCCTCCCAGCTGGTACAGAGGGGCTGTGGCAGGGATCTCCCTCTAGCTCTGTACTAAATCAGTTTTCCATTACTGATCTGTAGGAGCCTCGTGGCGCAGTGGTTAAACTGCTGCACTGCAGCCCAAACTGTGCTCATGACCCGGGGTTCAATCTCAGGCAGCCAGCTCAATGTTAACTCAGCCTTCTATCCTTCTGAGGTCAGTAAAATGAGTACCCAGCTTGCAGGGGTGAGTGGGGAGGGGGCAATATGTAGCCTGCATAATTGAGTGCTTTAAGCACTATGGGGCAGTATATAAGCACCATCCTTTGCTTTTTAAAACTATTTTTTATTTTATTTTATTTGCTTTGCTGTATACAGTGGTGCCTCGCACAACGAGTGCCTCACACAACGATGAATTCACACAACGATGCCTTTTTCTGTTAAATTTGCTGCCTCACACAGCGATGTTTCCTGTGGGGGATTTTCACACAACGATCTCCCTTTTCGCTCCTGTAAAAGTGTCTTACAATGTCTGGACGCTGTTTTAAATGATTGCAATGGTTAGTCCACCTCCTGAAACCTATGCAAACTGATTTTGGTGTTGTTCTGACACTTCGTTAATTTATGATGATTTTTTGTTTTTTCCATTGGAAACCATTAGA